ATGCGTAGGGGCCGTAGTGTATGCAAAAAAACTCGACCTACTTGAAGCAAGAAATCTGGATTGGGGTTCTCCAATACAGTACCGGAAGGATGAAGTCGATTGAATCGCTCCTCAGTGGACTGGAACAATGAGGCTGGCCATAAGCGTAGGGTAATATCACCTGAGATCATATAACCCGAAGGATCGAAGAAGTTCAGATTGGCCCAACCGACGGGATACTCGTACTGAGGGGAGAGAGAGAGAGAGAGAGAGAGAAAGGAGGAGGAAAACCGATTCAGGAGTATTAGGTGGGTGGGGAAAAATGGTAAATATTTGAGGATTCAAAAAAAATTCAATTTAGGCAAGGATGTATTAGGTGTTCACTGAAGTAGGAAAGTGGATGATGAGTTGGGTGAACGGTTAAATTTGATTGCATAATGAATGCGAAACTAGCAGTTTTAAAGTGGCACACAAACGGAGTAATTTTTGAGACCAAGAACAGGATTCCGAATTCTCGGATCCAACACAATGGCCGAGAGATGTTTGAACTCTACCATTATTGTCCCAATTTCCCAGCGACCTTCATAGACCGCATCCCATTATTGCAAATTGAATGTCAAATTGTATCCCATAAAAAAAGAAAGTTTAAGACTGATTGGACGGCGATGAATTGTTTGCCATTGAGATCCATAAACGACATCAAGTACATCATCTATAAGGAGCTTTTGTTCATAGCCAGGAGAACGTTTTACTGAGGAGTGGCACTGATGCTTGTTGTCTGACAGGCTGTCACCGAATATCGTCCCACCAAACGTTTCCCAACGATTTCGACTCAAAAGACAACTGCCAACAGGGTGAGCATTTTTTGTAGTGCCAGAAAAATTGCACAGACCAATGGAGAAGCGTGCTGTATTAACAGGGTTGCCAGCTGCCTAAATTTTTCCCAAATAGAAAATATGGGAGCACCAATAGAGTGAATGAACCGACCAAATCAGTGTTTTGCTTGTCTCCTTGAACTCCACTAATCCGGTAAGAACAAGAAAACACCGGCAACTTTGCGAAACAGCGATTGATCTTAATCGATTTTCCATTGATTCTGTGGGAATTTTCAGGGAAAATTAGGCAGCAGTGAAGTCGAATTGTTGGGTCAGACAAACAACCCACTTCAAGGCTCAACTGAAACATGGCGTTATGACGATGTCAACCTCAACCAAAGAAGGGTCATACCCATATGGAAGGATCTTCGAACGCGAACTTGTTGTTGTATTCAGACTTAGGTGATTAATAGCTGTGATGTACGCAACATGAGATTACACTGTACTCACTACTATATCTTTCGCAATCGGACAGGTTCTACCGGGAATCAGATTAAGCCGTTCTGATGCTCATCACGTAATGAATGGCCAATGGATAGTAAATCACAATGAGCAGATATCCGTCTACGCTATTCTCACCAACAATTGAGTATCACAAGGACTAAAATTGAATTGTGTTACTGGAAATGTTCAAGCGGTTGCGATCCTAAATATATCGGGAACTTCAGAGTCGGAGATTCCAATCCGAGCACTGCTCTGGTGTTAGATAGCTTCGTTTTGGTCTAGTTCAACGACACCTATTCTATCGGGACCCTGTGTAGTCCGCCACGTTTCGATCAATGGTTTCATTCCTTGAATAATATATCCTTGTTACTGTTCATCACACGATGATTGTAAGAATAATAGCAATAATAAGGGAAATAATATAAATGACATGTGTATTGTGTGCTAATGACGTTTTTCATTCAAAAGCGATTTGGATGCAGTGAATCAGTGCAAAAGCGAGTCATTATCAGGCAGAAGAATGAGTGCTTACTGTTTTTGTGGAACGCCGATCAGCCGACCGTTCTAGCTTGACTAGCGCTACGCAAAGACGAGCAGCCGGTGGGATATCGGCCAGCTGCATGTGAAAATAAAGCCATTCGTTCCAGGAGAAATACGGCCCCGAACGACCGCTTGTGGTCTGGAGAAAAAACGGAACAAAACAGCGAGGAAGAGAATATCATTTGCTCTATTTCGCATCGGGGCACCAAAGCAAGTGAGAACAGAAGAATCGGAACATAAACGCTGCGGTCATTAAGATGAACAGTGACGAAAGTCAGCTGCGTACTTCAGGAGGCTTGGGACAGTGAAACAAACACGACCCCTGGGCGACAGAGGAGCACGCTACAATCGATGCAGACTGACGGCAGTGGAGTTTGAACTCGGGGACTAAAGGAGCAGAACTTTTTAAGAAAAACCATGAAACCGTATATCAAAATAACCGCTACTAAAGAATCCTTTGCGAACAGGAGGTAAATCAGTTGACCGACACGGACGAGAGGTCCCTAAATTTCGAGACTGACGAGACTTCAGAATCTGCGATTTATGTGATAGTGCGCTGCATACAGTACTACACCTCCCATCAAGCTTTAGCCAAAACCCACATT